CACGACCTGCAGCAGCCAATCAGATCCCTGCTGAGTGTGTTGGCATGTTGACAGAGGTCAGAGGCTTCACTGACCCACAGAAGGAGGAGTACTTCAGGAAGAGGTTCAGAGATGAGGAGCAGGCCAGCAGGATCATCTCCCACATCAAGCCATCACAAAGCCTCCACATCATGTGCCACATCCCAGTCTTCTGCTGGATCACTGCTACAGTTCTGGAGGACATGTTGAAAACCAGAGAGGGAGGAGAGCTGCCCAACACCCTGACTGAGATGTATATCCACTTCCTGCTGGTTCACACCAAAGTCAAGAAGGTCAAGTATGATGGAGGAGCTGAGACAGATCCACTCTGGAGTCCAGAGAGCAGGAAGATGATTGAGTCTCTGGGAAAAGTGGCTTTTGAGCAGCTGCAGAAAGGAAATCTGATCTTCTATGAATCAGACATGACAGAGTGTGGTATCGACATCAGAGCAGCCTCAGTGTATTCAGGAGTGTTCACACAGATCTTTAAAGAGGAGAGAGGCCTGTACCAGGACAAGGTGTTCTGCTTCGTCCATCTGAGTGTTCAGGAGTTTCTGGCTGCTCTTCATGTCCATCTGACCTTCATCAACTCTGGACTCAATCTGATGGTAGAACATCAAACAAAATCCAAGAGGTCTATAGTTTTGAAGAAACCAAAACTAAAATATCTCCACCTTTGTGCTGTGAACAAGGCCTTACAGAGTCCAAATGGACACCTGGACTTGTTCCTCCGGTTCCTGCTGGGTCTTTCACTGCAGACCAATCAGACTCTCCTACGAGGCCTGCTGACACAGACAGGAAGTAGCTCTCAGACCAATCAGAAAACAGTCCAGTACATCAAGAATCTGATCAGTAAGAATCTGTCTGCAGAGAAAAGCATCAATCTGTTCCACTGTCTGAATGAACTGAATGATGGTTCTCTAGTGGAGGAGATCCAACAGTCTCTGAGTTCAGGAAGTCTCTCCACAGATGAACTGTCTCCTGCTCAGTGGTCAGCTCTGGTCTTCATCTTACTTACATCAGGAAAAGATCTGGATGTGTTTGACCTGCATAAATATTCTGCTAAAAAGGAGCATCTTCTGAGGCTGCTTCCAGTTCTCAAAGCCTCCAACAAAGCTCTGTAAGTACAGACACAGTGAGATGTTTCTAAATGAATAACATGTAAAATGAAACACAGACTGTATGGTAACTTGTCATGTGGTGAAAAACATTAAAACTAGATTCTGCATCCATCAAGAATGTGTTTTAGATTTGGGTTTACTCTGTTTCCTCCCACAGAACAACAACATGCAGGTTTGCTTCATTGGCGACTCTAAATTGTCCCTAGGTGTGAGAGAGAGAGTGTCTCCATGTGTCCTTGTGATGGACTGGAGATCAGTCCAGGGTGTCCCCCGTCTTTCAAAACCCCATCTTCTGGAGATAGGCAGCAGCTCTCCGCAAGCCATAAAGGAGAAGCAGGTAAAGAAACTGGATGGATAGATGATATTTCTGCAAGAAAATACTTCAAGAAAGAGACATGGGGGGGGGGGGGGGGGTGTTTGTGGAAATTTTATATATTTATTACTTTTTTATATCATATTGACCCTGGTTGACCCTTGACCTGGAAAATGTTTTTATTTTTGGCTCCATGTGAAAATGACTTTGACCCCCCTGAGTTCAAAGGTCACAGCTTTAGAAGGTCATGTAGAACTGAAGAACTGTTCTTAGTTCTTAAAGACTCCTGAGAAACGAGTGTGTTTCTGTGAACCCAGTATTGTTTCATTCTGAGAGTCCAGGATTGTTTTGATCTTTGAACCGAGTATCGTGTCACGTCTTGTGAGTTGAAAGTAGAGTTACATCCCTGTTCAAAGTCAAACTCAGCTGTTTCTCCTACAACAAACCAACAAATGCTTCCCAGCTATTCCAGCACTGGCCACTCTGGATGTAACTTCCAGTCAAAGTGACAGATAGGTCACTGGTCAGACAGACTTCCACGCTGAGTTCAACCAGTGTTTCTCAGACGCCACAGAGTTAGAAGCAGACCTTGAGCTGCTTTGATCTTTGCTTTAGTTTCACAGCAGATGTTCCTGTAGATGTTCAGTTGGAGCTGACTGACATTCAGTGTGACTCTGTTCTCAAGCAGAAGTTCACCACGTCCACACTGGACAGCTTCTACAGCTCACTGAAGGAAACACAGTTTACACACATGTTCAGACACACACAGGAGGTGTTTGTTTTATTTGGCTCCACTTACATCTGAACAAACATCTGAGAACTGAGTTGTTCTCTCTTGTCCATTGCGACTGTGTTACCTGCAGAGCTGCATTGCAGATCATCTTTCATTTTACTCATCTTTAGTAAATTTTTTACTTACATCTAATTATTGTAATTCTTCCTATTTATTAACCTTCAGTTACAAAGTAACTGCATTTTATATGAGTGGTTTATTTAAAAATCTTTTGTTTTATAATTTTGGAGCCTTTTAGGAACCAAACAACTAAACCTCAGCAATAAATGATGAAAGAGATGTGAGTGTAAACCTGATGATTTAAAGCAGACATATAACTGTCAACAGCAACATTATTTGTGTTCCTGCATAAAGATCAGTCCCTTTATTTCCAACATGTTCCACCCAGCTGATGTCCATCCATCCATTATCTTTACCCGCCTATTCCATTTTGGGTCACGGGGGTCGCCGGCACCCGTGTCCAGCAATCACTGTGCGAGGGGCAGGGTACACCCTGGATGGGTCGCAAGTCCATCACAGGGCTACATAGAGACTAATGAGACAAACAACCATTCACTCTCTCACTCACACCTAGGGACAATTTAGAGTTACCAATCAGCCTAACATGCATGTTTTTGGTCTGTGGGAGGAAACCGGAGTACCCGGAGAAAACCCACGCATGCACGGAGAGAACATGCAAACTCCACCCAGAAAGGTCCCTGGACTGGGGTTTGAACCAAAGACCCACTCGCTGAGAGGCAGCAGCTCTATCAGTTGCACCACCGTGCTGCCCCCCCAGCTGATGTCCTGGAAGAAAAACTCCTCCAGTTCCTCATGTCTCATGTCAGTTTCATCAGTCTTTACTGGACTCTGATAGTTTAATAAACAGGACAGAGGACAGAGTATAGAATTCAAAATCTTACTTCTAACCTACAAAGCTCTCAACAACCTGGCTCCATCTTATATTACAGATCTTATTGTTCCATATTTTCCTAACAGAGCACTTCGCTCTCAGACTGCAGGTTTACTTGTGGTTCCTAGAATTTACAAAAACAGAATGGGAGGCAGATCCTTCAGTTATCAGGCTCCTCTCTTGTGGAACCAACTTCCAATCTCTGTCCGTGAGGCTGACACATTATCCAGTTTTAAAACTAGGCTTAAGGCTTTCCTTTTTGCTAAATCCTATAGTTAGGGTCGGCTTGGGTTTCCTGAGCTGTCCCTTAGTTATGCTGCTATAGGTTTAGACTGCTGGAGGAAAAACTGACCACAATTTTCACTCTACTACTGTCTTTACTTACTCTGCTCAACCTGTTTTGTATTTGTGATTATTTTCTCTATCATTAACTTGTGTTTTTTTTTTGTCTTTCAGATACACCTGGACCTATACCTGGACCTACCATTGTATGTTCGTCTGTCTCTTCTTCCTGTCCTCTCAACCAGCCGGTCAAAGCAGATGGCCGCTTGTCCTGAGCCTGGTTCTGCTGGAGGTTTCTTCCTTTAAAAGGGAGTTTTTCCTTTCCACTGTTGCCACTGTGCTTGCTCAGGATGGGAGACTGCAACAAAGCCAGGATTCAACTTGTCTGCTGGATTCCTTAGATAGAGAAATTTACTAATTGTCTTTTATGTATGTGAATGTTCCTGTAAAGTGCCCTGAGACAACTTTGTTGTGATTTGGTGCTACATAAATAAACTGAATTGAATTGAATTGAATAGAGAGAGACTTGACTGGAATCAAACCAGCAGCTTTAGTTCCTGCAGAAAACACTGAAGACAATAATCAACAAGGACCCCTCCCTTCAACCCCAATGACAGCAAAACAAAGCTGCAGCTACGAGAGACACTGATGAGAAATATTTCATCCCATCAAACAGAGAAGATGAACTGAAGCTCTGAAGTGAAGGAAAAAAGTCCAACAGGAAGAGTTCAACTGGTTTCTCTTCCAATCTGAACAGAATTGGTCATTTATCAGGATGAAATCATTTTCTTTTTATGTGTCCTGACAGACTCTCTCGCTGTGGACTCTCAGAGACTCACTGTGAAGTTGTGGCCTCAGCTCTGAAGTCCAACCCCTCCCATCTGACAGAACTGGACCTGAGCATCAATAAGCTGCAGGATTCAGGAGTGAAGATTCTGTCTGCTGGACTGGAGAGTCCAAACTGTAGACTGGAGAAGCTAAGGTGATTTAAATGACAATTTATTTTTTTGCTAAATTCACTTTCAGTTCTTTACTTCAGTTTTTACTTCATTGATTTTTGGGATTTATCTGAACTTAAAACCAAAGATATGTAAATGTGTCCAAGTGTCTGTGAAGAAATGTGATAATTTGTCTCCAAAGGTCCAAAGTGAAGTCCAGATGTCAGAGGGATGTTGTTCTCAGTTGTGTGTAACTTTGGAAGAAGCAGACAGAATTAGTGTCAGACTGATGAAGTTTCATATTAGTGTCAGCTGAACTCACGAGTGGATTTGTGTCAGGAACAGAGCGTTCACTTTCAGTGCGAACAGCAGGATTCACTACTGTTTGATATGATACATGACTGTTGTCATGTGGAGACGAAAACACGTTAATGCTGAGCTGCACATGGAAACCAGAAAACACCTGAAGAGATTAGAAATTATTTTATTTAACTGTTTTATTCTTTATTCAGATTGTGGAGATGCAGTTTGTCAGAGATCAGCTGTTCTTCTCTGAGCTCAGCTCTGAAGTCCAACCCCTCCCATCTGAGAGAACTGAACCTGAGTGACAACAAGCTGCAGGATTCAGGAGTGAAGCAGCTGAGTGGTTTTCTGGAGAGTCCACGATGTAGACTGGAGACTCTGAGGTCAGACATGTTTATCACCTGCTGATGGAGGAGGAGGGACAATGTTGTTGATGTGTGTGTGTGTTCATTTGTTTTTATTGTTAGCAAAATATGCATGAGGAGAACATCTAAACTTCACACAGAAAGACCCCCCAGGGGGGAAGTGAACCTGCAACTTTCTTGCTGTGAGGCAACAGCTCTAACCACTGCTCCACTGTGCCACTCCTTATTCCATGAATCAATAAATGTAATTAATTCAAAGTTTCAGGAAATAATCTGGATGTTCGTCTACAACTGATTAACTTCTGGACTCAACTCGACTCTAAATGGTCTCCACAGTAAAACAATCTTAACAAACGCAAAAATGACTCAAATTTTGTCATTTCTCAACATCAGATGATTTGAATCTAAAACTCTGACATGAAAGGCAGCGGGGGATATTTTTCTCTTTTGCTTGTTCATTTGAAGGTTTCCTGTCTCCTCGTTTGTCAGAATCAATCTGTCACAAACATTCAGACTTCACTGCTTCTGTGTTGTCAAATTTCCCACGAACCTTGAACTAATCTTCTAGTGAAGACTGAAAGAAAGCAGCACACCATGATGTTCTCTTCTGTTCAGAGGATCCTAGACTGTCTTCAGTCACACAAAGAAACATCAGTGCAGCACAAAGAAACATCTGGATTTAGAAAAACACCATGCAAGAAAAAAGAGCAGAGTTCTGAAACTACAGCTTTTAGATTTTATATCTCTTTTATTTTAATACATTGATGGATATATTTGCTGCAGCTTTATCCTGAACATGAGTCCAACATGTAGACTTTTAAATGGCTCCGTGTTTGTTTTGGTAATTTGACTTTATCATCAGGAACGAACGACGGAAAAAAAACTACTCTTTCTTTTATTTCATTTTTGTTGTAAATACAAAAGATTTATTTAAAATATTAGAGCTCCAAAAATACAAACCGGATTCCAAAAAAGTTGGGACACTAAACAAATTGTGAATAAAAACTGAATGCAATGATGTGGAGATGGCAAATGTCAATATTTTATTCGTAATATAACATAAATGACAGATCAAAAGTTTAATCTGAGTAAATGTAACATTTTAAAGGAAAAATATGTTGATTCATAATTTCACAGTGTCAACAAATCCCAAAAAAGTTGGGACAAGTAGCAATAAGTGGCTGGAAAATAACAAACAGCTGGAAGACCAATTAACACTAATTAGGTCAATTGACAACATGATTGGGTATAAAAAGAGCTTCTCAGAGTGTCAGTGTCTCTCAGAAGCCAAGATGGTAAGAGAATCACCAATTCCACCATTGTTGCGCAGAAAGATAGTGCAGCAATACCAGAATGATATTACCCAGCATAAAATAGCAAAGACTTTTAAGTTATCATCATCAATCGTGCATAACATCATCAAAAGATTCAGAGAATCTGGAACAATCTCTGTGCGTAAGGGTCAAGGCTGTAAAACTCTACTGGATGCTCATGATCTCCAGGCCCTTAAACGTCACTGCACCACAAACAGGAATGCCACTGTCAAGGAAATAACAGAATGGGCTCAGGAATACTTCCAGAAAGCATTGTCAGTGAACACAATCCACCGTGCCATTCGCCGTTGCCAGCTGAAACTCTATAGTGCAAAGAGGAAGCCATTTCTAAGCAAGCTCCACAAGCTCAGACGTTTGCACTGGGCCAGGGGTCATTTAAAATGGAGTGTGGCAAAATGGAAGACTGTTCTGTGGTCAGATGAGTCACAATTTGAAGTTCTTTATGGAACACTGGGACGCCATGTCATCCGGACCAGAGAGGACAAGGATAGCCCAAGTTGTTATCAACGCTCCGTTCAGAAGCCTGCATCACTGATGGTATGGGATTGCATGAGTGCTTGTGGCATGGGCAGCTTGCATGTCTGGAAAGGCACCATTAATGCAGAGAACTATGTTCAGGTTCTAGAACAACATATGCTCCCATCTAGACGTCATCTCTTTAAGGGAAGACCCTGAAATTTTCAACACGATAATGCCAGACCGCATTCTGCAGAAATCACAACATCATGGCTACGTAGGAGAAGGATCCGGGTACTGAAATGGCCAGCCTGCAGTCCAGATCTTTCACCTATAGAGAACATTTGGTGCATCATAAAGAGGAAGGTGTGACAAAGAAGGCCCAAGACGATTGAACAGTTAGAGGCCTGTATTAGACATGAATGGGAGAGCATTCCTATTTCTAAACTTGAGAAACTGGTCTCCTCTGTCCCCAGACGTCTGTTGAGTGTTGTAAGAAGAAGGGGGGATGCCACACAGTGGTAAAAATGGACTTGTCCCAACTTTTTTGGGATTTGTTGACGCCATGAAATTTGGAAACAACAGATTTTCCCTTAAAAATTATACATTCTC